TTATATGTCGTTATCATGTCTCCCCTGACCCTCCTGTCCTCCAGTGTCGTCAGGCCGATTTCCCTTAATCTTTCTTCATAGGACATTCCCCTTAGCTCTGGAACTAACCTTGTCGCAAACCTTTGTACTTTCTCTAGTTTTCTTGACGTGCTTTATCAAGTGCGGGTTCCAAACAGGTGCTGCATACTCCAGTATGGGCCTGACATACACGGTGTACAGTGTCTTGAATGATTCCTTACTAAGGTATCGGAATGCTGTTCTCAGGTTTGCCAGGCCCCATATGCTGCAGCAGTTATCTGATTGATGTGTGCTTCCGGAGACATGCTCGGTGTTATACTCACCCCAAGATCTTTCTCCTTGAGTGAGGTTTGCAGTCTTTGGCCACCCTAGCCTATACTCTGTCTGTGGTCTTCTGTGCCCTTCCCCTATCTTCATGACTTTGCATTTGGCAGGATTAAATTCGAGAAGCCATTTGCTGGACCAGGTGTCCAGTCTGTCCAGGTCTCTTTGAAGTCCTGCCTGGTCTTCATCAGATTTAATTCTCCTCATTAACTTCACATCATCTGCAAACAGGGACACTTCTGAATCCAACCTTCCGTCATGTCGTTCACATATACCAAAAATAGCACTGGTCCTAGGACCGACCCCTGTGGGACCCCGCTCGTCACAGGTGCCCACTGTGATACATCATTACGTACCATGACTCGTTTGTTGCCTCCCTGTCAGGTATTCTCTGATCCATTGCAGTGCCCTTCTGTTATATGCGCCTGATGCTCTAGCTTCTGCACTAATCTCTTGTGAGGAACTGTGTCAAAGGCCTTTTTGCAGTCCAAGAAGATGCAATCAACCCACCCCTCTCTCTCTTGTCTTACTTCTGTTATTTTATCATAAAACTCCAGAAGGTTTGTGACACAGGATTTGCCTTCCGTAAATCCGTGCTGGTTGGCATTTATACTCCTGTTCCGTTCCAGGTGCTCCACCACTCTCCTCCTGACAATCTTCTCCATAATTTTGCATACTATACACGTCAATGACACAGGTCTATAGTTTAGTGCCTCTTTTCTGTCTCCTTTTTTAAAAATGGGAACTACATTTGCCGTCTTCCATACCTCAGGTAGTGCCCAGTTTCCAGGGATGTGTTGAAGATTGTGGCAAGTGGCACGCACAACATATCTGCTCCCTCTCTAAGGACCCACGGGGAGATGTTGTCCGGTCCCATTGCCTTTGAGGTATCGATGTCCCTTAGCAGTTTCTTCATCTCCTCCTCATCTGTATGTATGTCGTCCAACACTTGTTGGTGTATTCCTTGCTGGTGTCCCCATACTGGTCTGTCCCCCCAGAGTCCTTCCTGTCTCTACTGTAAATACTTCCTTAAATCTCGTGTTGAGCTCCTCACATACCTCTTGATCGTTTCTTGTGAGTTCTCCACCTTCTTTCCTCAGCCTTATCACCTGGTCCTTGACTGTTGTCTTCCTCCTAATGTGGCTATACAGCAGTTTCGGGTCAGGTTTGACTTTCGATGCTATGTCGTTTTCATACTGTCGCTGGGCCTCCCTCCTTATCTGTGCATACTCGTTTCTGGCTCTTCTACTAATCTCCTTGTTTTCCTGGGTCCTATGCCTCCTGTACCTTTTAGATTCTCTGTTGCACTTAGTTTTTGCCTCCCTACACCTTCGGGTAAACCAAGGACTCGTTTTGGTCTTCCATTATCTCTGTTTCCCTTGGGAACAAACCTTTCCTCTGCCTCCTTGCACTTTGTTGCCACATATTCCATCATCTCGTTTACTGATTTTCCTACCATTTCTCTGTCCCACTGAACCTCCTGCAGGAAGTTTCTCATACCTGTGTAGTCCCCCTTTTTATAGTTTGGCCTGTGTGTGTGTGTGTGTGTGTGTGTGTGTGTGTGTGTGTGTGTGTGTGTGTGTGTGTGTGTGTGTGTGTGTGTGTGTGTGTGTGTGTGTGTGTGTGTGTTTGTGTGTTTGTGTGTGTGTGTGTGTGTGTGTGTGTGTGTGTGTGTGTGTGTGTGTGTGTGTGTGTGTGTGTGTGTGTGTGTGTGTGTGTGTGTGTGTGTGTGTATGTGTGTACTCACCTAGTTGAGGTTGCAGGGGTCGAGTCAAGCTCCTGGCCCCGCCTCTTCACTGGTCGCTACTAGGTCACTCTCCATGAACCGTGAGCTTTATCATACCTCTGCTTAAAGCTATGTATGGATCCCGCCTCCACTACATCGCTTCCCAAACTATTCCACTTCCTGACTACTCTGTGGCTGAAGAAATACTTCCTAACATCCCTATGATTCATCTGTGTCTTCAACTTCCAACTGTGTCCCCTTGTTGCTGTGTCCCATCTCTGGAACATCCTGTCTTTGTCCATCTTTTCAATTCCTCTCACTATTTTGTACGTCGTTATCATGTCCCCCCTATCTCTCCTGTCCTCCAGTGTCGTCAGGTTGATTTCCCTTAACCTCTCCACGTAGGACATACCTCTTAGCTCTGGGACTAGTCTTGTTGCAAACCTTTGCACATTCTCTAGTTTCTTTACGTGCTTGGCTAGGTGTGGGTTCCAAACTGGTGCTGCATACTCCAATATGGGCCTAACGTACAGAGTGTGTAGGGTCCTGAATGATTCCTTATTAAGATGTCGGAATGCTGTTCTGAGGTTTGCAAGGTGCCCATATGCTGCAGCAGTTATTTGGTTGATGTGTGCCTCAGGAGATGTGCCTGGTGTTATACTCACCCCAAGATCTTTTTCCTTGAGTGAGGTTTGTAGTCTCTGGCCCCCTAGACTGTACTCCATCTGCGGTCTTCTTTGCCCTTCCCCAATCTTCATGACTTTGCACTTGGTGGGGTTGAACTCCAGGAGCCAATTGCTGGACCAGGCCTGCAGCCTGTCCAGATCCCTTTGTAGGTCTCCTTGGCCTTCGATCGAATGAATTCTTCTCATCAACTTCATGTCATCTGCAAACAGGGACACTTCGGAGTCTATTCATTCCGTCATGTCGCTCACAAATACCAGAAACAGCACTGGTCCTAGGACTGACCTCTGTGGGATCCCGCTGGTCACAGGTGCCCACTCTGACACCTCGCCACGTACCATGATTCGCTCCTGTCTTCCTGACAAGTATTCCCTGATCCATTGTAGTGCCTTCCTTGTTATCCCTGCTTGGTCCTCCAGTTTTTGCACTAATCTCTTGTGTGGAACTGTGTCAAACGCCTTCTTGCAGCCCAAGAAAATGCAGTCCACCCAGCCCACTCTCTCTTGTCTTACTGCTGTCACCATGTCATAGAACTCCAGTAGGTTTGTGACACAGGATTTCTCGTCCCTGAAACCATGTTGGCTGCTGTTGATGAGATCATTCCTTTCTAGATGTTCCACCACTCTTCTCCTGATAATCTTCTTCATGACTTTGCATACTATACATGTCAGTGACACTTGTCTGTAGTTTAGTGCTTCATGTCTGTCTCCTTTTTTAAAGATAGGGACTACATTTGCTGTCTTCCATGCCTCAGGCAATCACCCTGTTTCGATAGATGTATTGAATATTGTTGTTAGGGGTACACATAGCGTCTCTGCTCCCTCTGTCAGGACCCGTGGAGAGATGTTATCCGGTCCCATTGCCTTTGAGGTATCTTGCTCACTCAGAAGCCTCTTCACTTCTTCCTCGGTTGTGTGTACTGTGTCCAGCACTTGGTGGTGCACCTCACTTCTCCGTCTTTCTGTCTCCTCTGTGAACACTTCTTTGAATCTCTTGTTGAGTTCCTCACATCACGGTAATTTCTTGTTGTCTCTCCTCCTTCCCTCCTTCCTTAGCCTGATTACCTGGCCCTTGACTGTTGTTTTCCTCCTGATGTGGCTGTATAACATCTTCGGGAGTCTATGTGTGTGTGTATGTATGTATGTATGTATGTATGTATGTATGTATGTATATATATATATATATATATATATATATATATATATATATATATATATATATATATATATATATATATATGTTCTATGTTTGTGTGTGTGTATGTGTGTATGTGTGTTTGTGTTGTGTGTGTGTGTGTGTGTTGTGTGTGTGTGTGTTGTGTGTGTGTGTGTGTGTGTGTGTGTGTGTGTGTGTGTGTGTGTGTGTTGTGTGTGTGTGTGTTTGTGTGTGTGTGTGTTGTGTGTGTGTATGTGTGTGTGTGTGTGTGTGTGTGTGTGTGTGTGTGTGTGTGTGTGTGTGTGTGTGTGTGTGTGTGTGTATGTGTATGTGTGTGTGTGTATGTGTGTGTATGTTTGTGTGTGTGTCTTTTTACAAAAATAATATCTTTGTTTTCAGGTGTTGTCAAGTTGCATATTAAACACTTGTTGTTGTTTCTCACTCCAGTAAAGATGTGGAGACACAACCTTCAGCTCTGCAGAGTCTGTTCACTTATTAATATAAATTTTAAGTTTCCCTTTTAGCATAGTTGTTTATTGTGAAAGTTTCGATGTTACAACTTTATTTTTCGTGTTTTTTGATGTTTTATTTCCTCTTAAACTTAATGTTTTCATGTTAATGTTTAAATTAACTCTGTTACTTTATGAGATGCATGTTAGTTTTGTGTCCTGTAGTCTTCAAATATCCAATTTTGTATAGAGTTTTATGGTGCTTAATGATTAAATTCAAATTTCGGAAAATAAATTTGACATTGGTATGCAGAATATAAATGTTAGAAATGTTTAAACATTATTAGTTCTTAAATTACTTTTGCTGGTGTTCTGATATTTTTACTTAGATTAGAATAATAATCTTCCTAGTTTGACTTTTGTTAACTCTTATTTCCAGTTTCTATAATTAGGTTGTATTATGTGTTTGAGCCTTTTAATTATCCGATTAGAAGAAAATTGATAAATACTGAAAAAAAATGCCTTTGCTTCAGGAAATAATTGAAAATTTCCGTGGTCCTTTTATTAATTTCTCTATATTTTTCTTAAGATTTTTACGTAGTGTCACATTTCTTTTTCGTTTCAAAAGTATTATGTTTAGACGAGGTGTATTTGAGTGTTCTAGTATAATGTTGCCATAACTGGCATGGCCTTTTACAGACTGAAGCATCCCAACATAGTGCAGCTGCTGGATACTTACGAAGATGGTGAACACGTGTACCTCATCATCGAGTTGTAAGTACCACCCTCACCCCTCCTCACAACACTTAACTGGAAACTGGAAGTGGCAGTCCATCGCCCCCTCGAGTTAGTCATCAGTAGTCAACCAATGTATCTTGAGTCGTTATTACACAACGATGGCCATCTTAGGACAGTGTTGTGTGGTGATTCATTGCTTTCTTGAATGGAGTTTAAAGCCCATTTCGGGTCATCACTTGACGAAGATTTGAGTCAGGATAATGTATGATTCTTGTTGTGGGTTGTAAATTTACAAGCATAATAAAATTGTAATAAATATATAATTGCATAGCTTAAGAAGTTTTTTCTCGAGTCAAGCAAATATTGTTGGCCATATTACTTTTTATTGTATCTGTGCGTAGCATGCAAGTGGCCCTTAACAATGTATTGCAACACATGTATATAAACAGAAGGTGTGCATCTCTTACTATATATATACAGAGAGGTGTACATTTTCAGTGTTTAAATATGCCAAAATATGATTGTCTCTCTATGTACATGCGTTCAGAGCTTAATTTAATTCATGTCGTAAATTTCGAAGCTTTCTCATTGTTAGTGAAATGCGACTTCAGCGACCCTCGTCAGAATAGAGGCTTTATCCGTTATCATGTTGACTGACTCGAGGGGCAACGACAGGCCTTACTAACATACACACACACACGCAAAAACTAAACCCTCTACAGAGACTGCATCGTGTGCTACCTTAGCGACGCCTCGGGTATTTTCAGCTGGTTTTGGTAACTCCTTGTGTTTCTAACTCAGTTTGAGGGAACTATGTGGACAGTAGGATGGAATGAATTGTAATATTTCTCAAAATCCCAGAGCGGTGAAGGGATGTAAGCATGTAGTACTGAGTGGCTGCTTCTCCCTGTCAAGCTATTACACTGCTGCCTCTACCTTGTGTCAGAGTTCCATTTTACTGTCCTGAGCGATCTCACCGAAAAAAAGCAATTAACAACAGTCCACCATTGGTAGGTTTATTAGCTGTGTTCTCACCTTGGTTTATTCTTGTGTTCCAGGCTAACGCATCCCAACATAGTTCAGCTCTTAGAAACGTTCGAAGATAAACAAAAAGTCTATTTGGTAATGGAATTGTAAGTAACGAGGCTGTACACGAGGACTTCCTAGTGCATCGTGAGGCAGAATTTTATATTCCAATTGGCCCTGTTGGCAGTTCTGACTTGTTACATATTCAGTTGTGTTAGCAGCCAGCCCTGACTTACCTCCTGCTGCTCTACTTACGGCGTTATACAATACCGTTAGCTAAGGCCCGCTCGCCCACACTATTAAGGTCCAAACTGTGGCCAACCCCACACACACTGAGAGGACAGCTCGCTAGCCACACCACAGCCGCCTATGTGTGCCCCTCTACCCAACCTTACCCTCACATACACACACACGACACGCGCACACACACACACACACACACACACACACACACACACACACACACACACACACACACACACACACATACAACACACACACACACACACAACACAACACACACACACACACACACACACACACACACAACACAACACACACACACACACACACACACACACACACACACACACATACACACACACACACATACACACACACACACACACACACCGTAACATTGCCCTGCCCTCCCACTGCCTTCTTATATCTGGGCATCGCCTTTGTTGACTTGTATGCCTGTGCTCTGTGTATACGTGTGTGTGTGTGTGTGTGTATGTGTGTGTGTGTGTGTGTGTGTGTGTGTGTGTGTGTGTGTGTGTGTGTGTGTGTGTGTGTGTGTGTGTGTGTGTGACGCAGCTACCCACCTCAAGTCCCACCTCACTAGCATGGTCAGCACTGCACATGCTTTTATCAACACTTTTTTGCATGCCAGAATAGTCCTTCGTTTTTTAATATGCTTTATGGCATTAATTTTTATCTGGAATCTTTTACACACACTTTAAACATCACTTGATTGCTAAAATAACAAAAAATTATTGAATTTTAACAGTGATTTATAAAACTATTTTTATTTATAAATAAGAATGTTATCTATATTAATTTTCGTTACATAATCATTATATATAACAATTGTTATACGTTATTGAAGAAATTGCAACTTAAAAATCAATTTTGCAGTCTCTACAAGGTTTTTTTTGTAACCTTCTCAACCTTACTGTGGTGTTTTTACTGACTCCTCAGAAGTCCATGTGTCTGAACCACAGTGTGACGGTGTTGTTAACCCTCAAGCGTCCATGTGCTGTTGTTTACCTCTCAACCAACCCTATGTGTCGCTGTTTACCTCTGAATCAACCCTATGTGTTGTTTATTTTTACCTCTGAACCAACCCTATGTGCTGTTGTTTACCTCTGAACCAACCCTATGTGTTGTTGTTTATCCTCTTCAGTCCCAGTCTCCCTGGAGTAGCACTTGTTGTGTTCTTTATTGCATGTTTTCTAAATTTTATTAGTGTGCAGCCGAACTAAAAAAAAGAAATGATGCAACGAACTTTCCTTCAGATGGACGGTGAGTTTTACTGGTAGAGAGGAATTTTTTTTAGCAAAAATTTTGAGAGGCCTTTTCATAAGACACGTATGTAAGAAAGTATAATTCTCAAATTAATAGGTAGTCCTCCATTAATTGATTTATTGCTTTATGAAAACAATATATCTCGGCACGGTGTTAAGGTGGCCCCAGCACGAGCTTGTGTTGGGTATGAGAGGACAGGTTTGTGTTGGGTATGAGAGGACAGGTTTGTGTTGGGTATGAGAGGACAGGCTTGTGTTGGGGGTGAGAGGACAGGCATGTGTTGGGGATGAGAGGACAGGCATGTGTTGGGTATGAGAGGACAGGCATGTGTTGGGGATGAGAGGACAGGCATGTGTTGGGGATGAGAGGACAGGCTTGTGTTGGGGATGAGAGGACAGGCTTGTGTTGGCTATGAGAGGACAGGCTTATAGTGGGAATGATCCGAGGGTTACCATAAAAGAATTTATATTTCTTCAATTATTCCAGAACACAGAAGCTGAAATATGTCATCAGTGAGCTTCATGGTTGTTTTAACTCACTGGAAGACACAGTTCACATCAGGCTGTGTCCTCAGTAGATGTGATTCTCATACAGATTCTCTATGCCACTATATCCAATCACATGGTGCAATGAATCAGCAACTGCAAGAAGCAGGAGGGACGTGCTCTAACTGGCTTGTGGTGGGAACGAGTGGATTCACTCGGGTTAATCAACTGTAACGAGTTCATGTACTCAACAATTTTCCTTTTTAACATTTTTCAAATATTTTGATAATCTGGGACGCTGGTGCTCTCGGTCTATAGTTTTTTTTTTTTTTTTTTTTTTTTTTTTTGTAATGGCTTTGTGGAATGGGGCTATATATATATATATATATATATATATATATATATATATATATATATATATATATATATATATATATATATATATATATATATATATATATATATATATATATATTCATCGAATATTCAAGGTATGAGATAGTGATTTCTTGCAGTACTTGCAGAATTCAAGTGGAGTTAAGTGCAAGTCAGAAATTTTGGAGGTGTCGGCAGTGTTTTGAGTCTCGTTCTTGAAAAAACCATTTGAATTCTTCTGGCTTTATTATATCACTCATTTCAATGTTGTCATCGATGTAAGTACCATCTCCTTCAAGCAAGAAAAGCATTTTTTTTTTATTTTTTAATTTCATTCACGACTACGTTCAGTTTGATCTCATTATTTTCCATTTCCCTGATCAGTGTTTCTTTCTGATCATCATCAGGCCTTGGAAAGCCTGTGTGATTCTTTGTCTTCGCCTGAAGAGGGAGCGGTTTTCTCTTTCTAACTTGCATCTCTTAATGGTATGTGTCTGGAACATGTTTCTAGTGCCACTGAGCTCGTTATCTCCGGACATGTCTTCAAGTACTGAGTGTGTGCAGAACTAAACTCGATGATTAAAACACATTTGCAACAGTTGGGGATCTATTCTGTTGTAACGTTTCGCCTACACAGTAGGCTTCTTCAGTCAAATACACAGGCAGCAGTAGTGAAATGAAGATGGATGTAATCAGTCTGTCAACCTTGAATAAATGGTATTTGAGGTGGTCAGTCTTGTTATCATTAATATCTGTGGCTCTGATGAGTGAGTACAAAATTCCTATCTCTTTTGTAGTTTTAGAGCTTCCTGTTACTAAAAAAAAAAACTTTATTTTTGGCATCATTGTACTTGCTATGTTCAATATTATTTTCCTGTGATTTTTACATCGCCTTGTTCATGTGAGAAGCAAGAAGAACACTTTGTAAAAATTAGAAATAAGATAGGAATTTTGTACTTACTCATCACAGCCACAGATATTAATGATAATAAGAAAATAAGTATAAAAAATGTAAGTCCCTTTATGGCTGCAAATATACAAACTCTTAAACAAAGTTACAAAACACTTAGTGGAAATATAAACACAAATGCAGTATAATGTGATCCTTTATTGACAACGTTTCACCCACACAGTGGGCTTTTTCAAGTCACACACGGATCTACCTGGGGTTGGAAGGTACGGGAGTATTTCTAGTCATGTTCCATTGTGTCGGTATTTTATACCATTTATTTCCAAAACACTTGGTGTTCTTCTTTATAGAACTGTAGCTCATATTCTGAATGAAAATATATTTAGGATAGTATAACATTTCTTAGGATGGTTATATTGACAGGTTCTCTAAGTTTGACCAGTCTGTCCATGTCTGCAGATACCCGAGGCATAGGGCAGAATACATTTCGATTTTCTCTTACTGGGAATATTTGATGGGGTTGAAATATTGTATCTTCTTTGATCTACATTAAAACGAACTGTTATAAGTTTTCCCTGTATTGTCTTGCATAGATTGATTTCCTTGATTTTCTTTCTTTACATTAATATGACAACATTTCCTTCGTGGAGTCTTATGATCCAAAAACATTTAATTTTTATCCATAAATGATAGTCAGCCTCATTCTGTGC